AACACACAATTGGAAACCCACTGAAGCCCAGCAGGTGTGAGCCTGGTCAGTACTTGAATGGGAGACTCCTGGGAAAGCTAAGGCTGCTGCAGGAAGAGGTGTTAGTGGGGGCAGCAGGGGGCGCTCACCATCCAGTCTGCGCGGGTCCTAATGCCCCAGTATAGTGATGGAGACACTTTACTGTTAAAGAGGTCCCATCGGATGAGATGTAAAACTGAGGTTCTGACTCTCTTTGTGGTCATTAAAAATCCCAGGGCGTTTCCTGAAAAGTGTAGGGGTGTTACCTCAGTCTCCTGGCCAAAATTCTCCCTGGCCTTTATCAATCATGACCGCATAATTTATAATAATATGAACTGGCTTCATCCCTCTGCTCTCCTCCCCACTGAAAGCTGGTGTGTGTTTAGTGTACTGGTGAACTCTGGCTGCCATCGCATCATCCAGGTGGGGTTACACACTGGTGGTGGAGAGGAGTCCCCATTACCTGTAAAGTGCTTTGAGTGGAGTGTCCGGAAAAACACTACAGGAGTGTAAGGAGTTATTATTAATTACATTAAGAATTTCTTATAACTTGACTTATTTATATTAAACATATATATTATTTATATGACTTATTTATTCCTTTATTATATAAAACCCTACAAGGAAATGTGGTCAGGGATATTTATTGATGCATCAGGCATGAGGGTTAGGATGAAGGTTCAAAGGGTTCACCCTCTGGCCTGTACAGTACACTGTGCAGTACTGTTAACAGCTCTGTAACACAGGTCTGTACAGTGTTCTATGGCAAACTGCTGCAAGATTGATTGATTGATTGATTGATTGATTGATTAGCCAAGGTGATTCAGACCCCCCAGTGAGGCAGAGGTCGGCCTGAATAAGGGGGCTACACTGTGCTATTCATACCTTTCCAGGAAGTGACATCAGTCAGGATTACAAGATACTGCAGGAAAGGCAAAGAACCTGCTTGCTGTCATCCCTCCCGAACCTTCATTCAAAACTCCATTCACTATTGACGGATCTACAACCTATCCTTTTTGTGCTCTGGCTTTTTTCATAAATAGTGGCTTGCATGTGTCATGACATTACTGGCATTACACACTGTGGTGTCGCTCCCAGCAGTTTGATTTCATTGTCTCCGTTCCGCTGATCCGGCGCCTGAGCTCTTCGTGTTGTTTGTGCAAGCGTCGTGCAGACGCTCAGCGGCAGTGGCTGTGAAAGGAGAAGTGTGTTTGGTGGTTCCGGTGCCGGACGAGGGGAGCGGTCTTGCGTCCACCTGGACCGGGCCATGAGGAAGTAGTCCGTCTGTCTGGCGCTGGGGTGGAGAACTGGAGAGTACTGCTGTCGGATCACAGCAGCATGGCCCTGGCCCAGAGCCTGTAGGGAGAAGAGACAACCAGCCATCTGGCCAACCCGTACAGTCCTGGGGGGTCGTGACGGACACCGGGGTGGAGTACTGGCTGGGGGTCCCAGCTAGAAGGTTGTGGGTTCGAATTCCAGGTGGATTATTATGGCTGCCAAACTGGCCTGATAAACATGCCTGGCTGTCCAAAGGATATCATACAGACTTTTCTTTGGATAAAATCAGCCAAAGAAATAAATATTAGAAACTTCAAACATCTGCACAGCAAAAGTGTTTGGGGAAATAAACTATTTCATATTGCAGGTTTAAAAGGTATGCTCTCAAGGCACTTATTTGGCTTAATTTATGATTGACTTAGGCCTACAGTGGACCACATTTGTGCCCTGAATGAAAAATGCTAAGCAGATCGATGAAGGAGGAACTGACCAGGAATCCCAGTGTGTTTGTTTTTTTTGTCATCGCTGTCAGCACCTGTTTCTACAGACAAGGCCCAGATGCTACAGCAGATCTCTGGCCAGCATCCTCAGACGCCTTAGGAACTTCAGAGTTTTGTGATCATTGTGTAAGATTTGAAACGCCTACACATTTAAATAAGTAAATTTAAATATAGATATGATCTCCCGATAGAGAAAGCTAAAAATACTAAAATCATACAAATTCAAATGACATCATAACTGTATTTACTAGCAATAGTATAAACTATTATATAATATATAATTATAAATTAAGGCAAGTAAATGAAAGCATGATGATGTTGATTATTATTATTATTATTATGTTATTATTATTATTATTTTACACAGATTGTGAAAGACGATGTTATCTCACTCTGACACAGGGAGTATTTCTTCCACATGCTCCCAGTCCTCGGAGTAGTCCACACAGCCTCCCTGCTGGCCGTGAGCACAAGAATTCAGGCTGAACAGGCTCTCCCAGCCAGGTATCCTGCCGCTGGGAGACACAAGCAGACCAGCACCCTTCACATCCTATCGATAACTGCGTCTCTGCAGAATCCCTGCAGAGCACTGAGGCGTGCCATACTCCAGCCTGGTCTTGACTGGCGTTGCTCTTGGCATTGAAAGACTCACCTGACTGCAGGAGCTGTGCAGACAGCAACACTGGGGCGTTTGGCAAATGTCCGGCCCGTTACTGCCCATCCCAGAGTTCCCTTCTGGCTGCGACGATCCAGAGAATTAGAGCTGGCAGCTTTGGATGTACCAGATATACCGTGGCACAGTATGACAGGAAGTGACATGTGAGGCATAATAATAACTTACACTTAAATAGCGCTTTTCTGGACACTCCACTTAAAGCACTTTACAGGTAATGGGGACTCCCCTCCACCACCACCGATGATGCGACGGCAGCCATAGTGCACCAGAACGCTCACCACATACCAGCTATTAGTGGGGAGGAGAGCAGAGGGTAATGAAGCCAATTCATAGATGGGGATTTTTAGGAGGCCATGATTGGTAAGGGCCAATGGGAAATTTAGCCAGGACGCCAGGGTTACACCCCTTCTCTTTTTTCGAGAAACGCCCTGGGATTTTTAATGACCACAGAGAGTCAGGACCTCGGTTTTACATCTCATCTGAAGGACAGCGCCTGTTTACAGCATAGTGTCCCCATCACTATACCAGGGCATTAGGACCCACATGGACCACAGGGTGAGCGCCCCCTGCTGGCCCCACTAACACCTCTTCCAGCAGCAACCTTAGTTTTTCCCAGGAGGTCTCCCATCCAGG